TTATCACTTACTGATATGAGCTCATCACATACAACACTGTAAAAGGAGTCAGTGTGTGTGTGTGTGCCATTACCTTTCATGGCCTCAGCGGTTTGGATGAGCTCTGTGACGGCTCCGCCCCCCGCTGCTGCTTCTGCTCTGCAGTGGGCTTCTGCAGGACCTACACACACACACACACACACACACACACACACACACATTAAACAAACACTATTATGCTGGAAAAATATTGCTGGGCTGACAAAACATTCTGCCTGGTGTGCACTCCGTGCGGATTCCACTGAATTAATAAAAACTATGGGAGTTTAGACACATCCAGATGAACTAACACCTTAAACAACTCCTGAAATGTTACCAGACCCAAGGCTTCATCCTACAAACTCGTTTGGTTGAGATTAATAAATTATATTTAGAATATTTCAAGTTTATTGAACTGTGCATCCATAAACATGGGCTCAAATATTTTAAGTATTACATACCACAGTTTTACAGCAGTGTACTATTTAATACTGTACTATCACTTTTGTTTAAAGAACTGAAAGGCAGAACAGGAGGGCGGTGGTTACAATCAGGTTGATGTGTTGAGATGACGACATCTGCTTGTACAATCATTCATGATGTTGTTAAAGCACATAAATCATGAGCAACAAAAATCTCCTCCTCTAGACATACATGTACTTACTGCTAGAAAGTTCAGCCTACCAACAGTACTTGTTCCAGCAGATCAATGTATCCAGTTGTACACTCGGACCCGAACATCAGGGCTCTGTTCTTCACCTCCTCGCTGACCTCTGGATGGTAGGCCGCTTGCTGAAAGACAAAAACAAATGTTCGCCTTTGCTTTAATTAGTATTAGTGGAAACTAAAGTTACTAGAGATTTTGACAGATATTTAATTTCTGGTTTAATACTTTCAGGGAATAACTGAGGGGAGTAAAAGAAAAAAGAAAAAATGCTTCATGTAACCAGTTGTTTATAGACAGTACAGTTAAGTGTAACAGGAAAAGGAACCTTGCAGGTGGTGAGCATGTCTGAAATGGCTTTGCGGCTGAGGTTGGCCGTATGGATGATGTCTTCTTGCCGGGCAGAATTCCCAGCAGCCACTGCTTTAGCAGTCGCCATGGTGATGCCTTTAGTCATGCGAATGAATTCCTCAGGTGTGGTCGTCTTGGTGGGAGCATCCTTGGACTGAAACAGCTGTGGATGAAAATCAAAATATTACACATTAATCATTAAAGATATCACCGAGCACCAGTCAGTTATATTTCATTCTCGTGCACATGCTTAACCCTCCGACCCTCCTCACCGCCATTTCCTGTTTGATACACTCAATGGTAGCCTCCAGCGCTCTGGTGCCCCGGGTGGCCTCGTCCTCCACAGCTTTGACCGTCTTCAGCAGGGATGTCACATTGGTCACCATCACCTGGCAGATAAAGTATGGATTGTCAAATATGAACAAACTGGTGGAGTGTGTGTTCAGCCACAAGGCTCTACGACATCTTCATGCCAGAAGTACAAACAGGCCAGAACAACAGAAAACAGACTGACAAGAGTTTAGTTTTTCTGGAGCATAAAACAGCAAAGAACTACTGAGGGTGTGACAGGTGCTAATGTGTTTATATGTGCGATCTGTTATCCTTTCATTCATCCCCCTGAAATGTATTCTTACTCCCTTGACATTCAGAGACACCAAAAAGATAGCTTGGTATAAATAGCATTTTTAAGGGTGTACTGCATCAAACTCAAAGACAGGTGGTGCACAGCAAACATGGAAGCCCTCATGATGTGAATGTAAAATTCTTCAAATGGTTGAGAGGCACGTTATCATCTGACACACGGAGCAGCCGCAGACCGCGAGACCGACATGTTTTATAAACCTCTCAGCTGGAGGTGATAACGAGCAGTCAACAGTGCCACAACTGTGGCTTTGAAAATCTACACTGCGTATACTGAAGAAACACACTCCGCTGATTTATCTCGGTTAGAAATATCTCTGCTTCCTGTTACCCAGAACCTAAATTTACTGGTTGTGTAGAGTAATGAGGGAGTCTTCAGTGCAAATCCTGTGAATACGGTCTCATAACAAAAGGAGGAGTAATGGCACTGAGTGAGGAAGAGGAGCATGTGGGATAAGGACTTTCATCCATTTAGATTTAGGGCGTTTTTAATAAACCTCTCATCTTATCAGTCACAGGGGTAAATAAGTCTTGTTGGAAAATTTGAAAAATCACCAGCACAGCAGAAAACAAATGAGCATAAATGATCTAATAAAATACAGACTCCAATATTCTGACTGTAATGATTTCTAAATCTGAAAAAGACAGAGACCAATTAGAGGACACGGTGCAAGACCCGCAGCCTCACCTTGGCAGCGCTCTTCAGCTGATACATAGATGGATCATCTGCTACTTTGCCAGCGGCACACTTTGTGGCACTAATGAGCTCAGCCAGCGCCTTGGCCACATCTTTGACAGCATTTATCAGAACCACCTAGAGGAAGGACACACAGACACCAATTTATCACCATGCAGTCTGGGGAAGAGAAAACTCTGAAAGGTTATTGCCGTTCACAGCTCATGCTTCCATAATTTCACCTGATAACAGGCACAATGAATAAAGGACAAACAAACAAACAAAAACAAGACCGACTAACCTGTGTCTCAGGGTCATCTGAGCCGATGCTGGCAGCTCCCAGTTTGACCACATCTGTAAGCTGTGTAATGGTTTTTGCAGAGGACTGGGCAGCATGAGCCAACTTGTCCTGACCGGAGGCTGCACCGGACACCAGCATCTTTGTGTCCTCCACCAGAGCTTTGGCCGTCTTTAGAATGCTCTCCCTGTGAGGGAAGATGAAGGGCCAGAAGAAATGTATGGGCTGTTCTTTAAGTGAGTGAAGCTCTGATCCAGAAGTCTTACTCCAGTAGAAACACGACGTTAATGTATGCGAATTACAGCACTGACACAATCTCTTTTCATTTCAAAAGCATTTGTACATCAGAGCTTGTGCAGACAGGAGGAGGACAGGTGAGGTTATGTAACATGTCAAGTTAGTTATTTCTCCAAAGGGAAAAGTGTAGGAAACTGCTGCAAAGTTTCTTCTCGATTCAAAGTGCTACATAAGACAGCTTCTGACAGGGCATCTCTCCATGTTTACTTTCATAATTCTCCAGTGAGGTACTGTACAATTTCACCAATACTTATCTGGAGGGACCTAGGTTAATAATGTACAGTCACAGCTGAATGCGATGTACCGAGTACTTGCATCGTTAGGTTCATTCATATACACAGGTGACAAACTACAGGAACATGTCTGTGCAAATTCTCAGTCATCCAGGTCATAGTATGCTGAAAAAACTTAGCAGAAGGCATATGGATGTAGCTTTAGGTAGGAGACGTTTCACCTCTCATCCAAGAGGCTTCTTCGGTTCTGTCTGACTGGTGGTGAGCAGTCTACCTAAAACTACGTCCAGATGCCTTCTGCTGAGTTTTTTCAGCAAACTAAAGGAAAACCCTGAATAACTGACTGGTCTCCTCCAGGATAACTGTGCCCCCATCCATAGGACACGAGGGGTCACTGACTGGTTTGATGAGGATGAAGATGATGTGAATCAGACACTGTGGCCTTCCCAGTCACCAGGTCTCAGCCCAGTTGAACAGCTATGGGAGAACAGGCAACAGATCCTAAGTGGAAGTGTATCCAGATCAGCACAGCTGCAGCTCTGCTCATTTGCATCATCATGTGTTGGTAAATATGCTGCTAAATCAAAAAAGGCCATAATAGTCTAGTACAGTACTTATATCTGTACTCAGACACAGCCAGGCACATTTCCAGCTCTAACCTGTGGTCAGCGAAGGCCTCATCATTCTCTGCGTTGAGTGTGCCGGCTGAGGCAAACATTATGGTAGTGTCCAGGTCGGCGATGATTCCAGACACGGCACTAGCAGCTGTGATACAGGCCTGTGTGCCCTTGTTGCCTGCCTGGAGGGCTGAGAGCACCAAGGACACCTGGACACAGACAGACAGGTGAGGCTATCTGAGGCACAGTTTCCATCCCTTAACTGCTTGAAAAAGCCCACATTAGAGACAATCAGTTTATATTTTTGTATCCGATTCTTGCTCCCAAACAGCAGTGCTATGTTTTGGTCAGGAGAAGTGGAGTTAAAGACATTCCATTTTGCATTGTTTGTGAGATGCATCCAATAATAATGCATTCAAACTGAGAAGCCCAACTCAGCATTTGACAGAGGATCTTAAATTTTGCTGTGACACCAAAATACCATGCACAACATCACTCAGTGTAATAAGTACATGTCAGACTGACTTTGACTTCATTTGTTTCCCTCACACATGCCTGAGTGGCAGCAGAAATTCATTAACAGATGACTCATTGCTGTGGCAAGGTAAGAGTTATGAGCATAATGTGTCATAGATATGCTCAGCAAAATAACTTTAATCTCTTTACAATAAAAACACTAAAGAGAACATATACACAGAAAACTCCTAATAAAGCCACAACCATTTCTGGAGGGGTTTGTTTGCATTCACAGGGCAGAGCTGTACATTGCAGCTGAACTGATGATCTGTGCATTATTAAACCAGACTGTAAAATCATGTATTTTGCCAACAACTATGAACTAAACAGCCAGCCTCTGAAGCAACAACATGCCTGAGGCAAAACCTTCCTCCAAAATGCTTTACTTCAGGAGGCACAGGATAAAATAAACTATAACCTGATTATATTGTTGGTGCCATGACAGCAGAATTACTGTGTTTAAACTACACAGCTACAACACAATTCTTTATCATTCCCATAAGAAAAAACAGGGGTGCAGACTTAGTTTGCTTGGATGATACTAGGCCGAGCACGAAAACCTGCAGGTACGATTTGGTATTAATATAATAGAGACAGAAAAGTGACACAGCCTCGGGTTAAAGAGTGGGGAAACTTGGACAATCCATAGAGCTCAAAACAAAAAAAAAACAGATAATAATTGACCCGACATCTTTCAGTGACAGTACCTTCTCTAGGACAGCACGGGCACAGTCGGTGAGCTCCCGTTTGGTGAAGCTGTCGGAGGGGGTGACCTGCAGAGCTCCGGCCTTCTGGACCAGGAAGATGCAGCCATGTCCGAGCTCCTGAACACGCGTCTTGATCTGGAAGCCAATCTGGATGACACAGAACACGGCAATCACAGGGCTATATACTTATACTAAGAGCATACGTCATACAAAAACAAGAACTCCAGTCAATAAACTGACTTGCCTTGTTAGAAACAGTTTAGATACACACAGAAAATGTGTCTCTGCTCTACCATGACATAATCCCTGTATATTAATTGTTCACTTTTTTTTTTTACTTGCACGCAGCTGAAAGTGTCGCTCTAACCAGTGAAGCTGAAAAGAGAAACCTGTCACACTGATGTAGCAGAGTGGGCGAGACCATGTCTTTATGGGTGACACCCAGGTCTTCCTCACCTCGTCGGGCTCAGCTGTGTGAGCAGCCAGTCGCCCCTGGACGGCCAGCTGGCTGTAGTCCACGGTCACCTGAGAGGCCAGCGTGCCCAGCTCATCCGGACTGGTCACCGACTTGGTCATCTGACAGATAAACACACACAAAATGTCAAGTCAAACTCACTTTGGGGCTCAAACTATACAGGCTTTCTGTTCATGCCAGCTTCTGAGCTGAACAGCCTCAAGCATATGACTGTGATGCATCTCCAATAACATGTTTCTTTATGAACACAATCAAATTTAAGAATCATGAAATAATCTCACGAGTGTGATTTCATATATGGATGGTGGATTTGCAGCAAACAGAAGCCAAATAAATCAGGTTTTTAAATTTCTATGAGCCCCTGAGGCCGAAAAAACATTTTGTTTGTCATGCACAGGTTGGATTTACTTTGATTTATCAAAAATTCTGGAAAAAAAAAGATAAAAATATGTCTGACAATCACATTTCCCATACGGTTCAACAGCATAAACAATTATTTTGAAAACTTACTATTTCCTGAGCAGTGACAGCAATAGCCTTAGAGTGTTTCACCATACTGGTCTGGTAATCTACAAAAGAGCCCTCAGGTTCAGGTGGTGTCCCTTCATCCAGCTGCAGAACAACACAAACACACGGGGAGTTTAAAACTGCACTGCCATGTTCATTTTACAGTTGGGAGAGTAAAGTACAAACACAGTATTTCCTGATCTTTCATGTCTTTACTGAACACACACATTAAACACACAAAGTGATGGTGGACAAAGTCATGGTAACAGTGTTTTATTAACTGGTTGAACCACCTTTGGCAGCAAGAACCTCCAGCCAGCGCTTCCTGTAGCTGTGGATCAGACCTGCACAACGTTCAGGAGGAGTTTTGGACTGTCCTTCCTGACAGAGCTGCTTCAGCTCAGCCATATTCTTTGGACGTCTGGTGTGAACGTCTTGTGTTTGTTGATGTTTGTGGCTTCGATGAAGATCTGATCATATTTCATGACTAATTTATACAGAAAACCAGGAAACTGCAAACAGCGCCATGACTTTTTCTTGTGACAGTAGCTGTGACTGGTTCTTCCTTCAAAGGCACCAACATCTTTAAACATGAAGATGATCAACCACTCAGCTCTTTAGCTGCAGTGACATGTCAAATCTAATCTACCCTTCAATTATAATAATTCTGCCAGGTGTGCAGGTTTCAGCTAATCTTAAACCAACACTGATGCAATTTTACATTCAAACAAACTCCCAGCCTGAATGATAAACACTCATTATCAATTACCCACCAAATCCCCTCTGTAATTACAGCTTCTAAACAGTATTAACCACAGAAGCATTTGATCACCATCTTGCAGTGCATACATTATGTTTCCAGCATTTCTACTTAAATTAGGCTCCGCACGTCTGTGTGTCACGGCAAAGCTGAGGAGATGAGAGCGATGACGCCATGTGGGAAAAGTATGCTGGCGCTGAAGGATGATGTTCTCTGTGCCTGCAGAGTGAACCAACAGCTTTGAATCTGTGACCTTGACTATGTGACTCTTAGCTCAGCAGAAAATCCTTTAAATCACCTCGACTCAAACCACAGCAAGGAGTGACCATTATGTCGACAGATTATCTAAGAGGATTATCTCTTTTTAAGAAACTACTAACACTGAGCAACGTGCACATGCTGTTTCCTCTGGGGACCCACACCTGAGGTGCTGTTTGACCTCACTCAGCAAGGTGATGTGATTAGCTAATGCTATTCTGTGTCTGTAGTTGAGATGAAAGGCCTTTTTTCACTTTACACATTATGTGTTTGCTGGAAAGACAATTTGCCCTGCACTGGCAGAGAGGGGCTGTGCTGAAAGACGGTATTCTGCTGCTTCAGCGACTTGTGGTTTGTATCAATACATTCATTGGTGACTTTTTATGGTGTGTAGGAGACACTAAGATTAGAATCAAGATGCCACAAACTGCAACAGGAATCAGAATCAGCTTTACTGTTGAACACACAAGGAGTTTGACCCCTTTTGCAACAAGATCTTTTACGTTATACAATTTTGCCAGATTGTGCTAATAATCAGGGATAGTGTAATTCTGATGGGTCCATCAGATCCAACTGGAGCATCTGGATCACCTCAGATAAAGGCAGATGATTGATGATTTGCAGTTCTATTGTTTTGTAAAACTAATGAAGAGAGAGCACGGCTGTAAATTAAGAGTAAACTGGATAAAGCACCTGTCTTGAATAATCATCTCAGAAGAGTTTGGACCAGAGCAATAATATAGTGGAGGGACTATTTTTTATCCCACCTGTCCTGGGAACACCTCAGGGAATGACTGAGGGTGATATGTCCAGACTACTACAGCTAATGAAGAGAAAGAGCAGCTGCAGTAAATTCTTATTCAAATACTGAAGAGTCTGAGTTTATTTAAGCATAAGGACAAATTATAAATGTGCAGCTGCTATCCTGTGTGTTCTGACCTTGGCCATGGCCTCTGCGATGGAGTCCACCATTCCTCCCACCATTCCCACTTCACTGGCAGCCTCATTCAGTGTAACCATTATATCATCGACTGCCTCCTTCATGAGCTGGGCTGCCTCTGCTATGGCATCATGGGTATGGGACGCCTGTGAAGCGTGATGCAGAGCAAGCACACATCACAGTTGTTAAATGTACAACACCAAATACACATGTTTGCATCAAAATGACTTTCTATTAGCCTGTACATACACAGTAAATCACCCTTTTATTTAGCCAGGTAAATTCTACTGAGATTAGCAATGCCTTTTTCAATGAGCACCTGGCCAAGACAGCAGCATTAAAGGTTTTACACAGGACAATACAACATTAAACGCACAAACAAAACTTAAAAAAGCAGGTAAAAGCGTATAATGGCTCAAATAAGCTAACAACAGGGGAGGTTACAAAAAACTATAAACAGAGACAGTAAGAAAAGGAATCATTCACCACAGAGTTTACAGCAGCTGTGAATTCAGTCCGAGACACCAAGTTCTTTAATTGAATGTCTTTCTGCAAACTGCTCCAAGTGCCTAGTCTTTTTATGGTTTCCAAAGAAAAGCCTGTGTCTAAAATAAAACCCTAACTTTGTTTTTCTTTGCAAAGTTTTCAGCATGTTGCTTAAAAAGAAAAACAATCATCAAGACAAACACCAAGATAAAACATTTATTTTTTCCCTGGATTTGTCACAGTGACAACACAGTCTGAATATTGAATTATAAAAGAACATGAACTTAGTTTTGTGACATTCATTACAAGCTTGAGTTGAAAGAGCTGTGGCTGTAAAATATTAAACGCATACTGCAGTTTATAAAGTATCTCTATATGAGTGAGGGTGTATGGCAATATAAGACTGTATCACTGGCATGGGCACTAACACCTAAATAACTGAAGTAAAGAGAAAACAAAACCGGGCCAAGCACAAATCCTTGGGGTGTTCCATTAACAACAGTGAAAGCCAGTTTGAACAGAGCCCACTAACCTTCACACACCGATTGTCCAAATAATCCTTGAAGATGTGGAGCAGTACTGAAGCACTACTGGAAACAACGATCTTACCTTCGGGTTTCCTCCACCCTCCTTGGCGGCATAGAGCATCTGCAGGGCAGACTCAGCCATGGTTTTAGTTTGGTCCAGGAAAGTCATCTGCTGCTGGTGGTCCTTCAGCTTGGATGCCACACCTACAGAAGCCTTGATCAGTGGCTCAAAGTAACCAGCCAGCTGGGTCACCTGAAGGAAACAGGAACGGCTCTTAAGTCGGTTCCCAGTTTAAAATGGCACAGCATTAATCGATGTGTTTGATTTTAGTTCATTTCTCTTACTGGGCCCCATTTTAGTGTAAAGTCACATTCAACTACAGAGAATAAGGCAGGCAGAAGTACTCAGACTGCTTACTTAGGTCAAAGTACAAATACTACAGTATATAAATACTCTGCTACAAGTAGGTGCAAATGTTGTTGCAAGTACAAAAGTATTAAGTATAAAAATACACTTCTATTAGTGTTGCAGCTGGTAAAAATAGAACCAATTATAGCTACTCCAAATGCTTATAATTTCAATTACTGCTAAATTTCCTACTAGCATGGGCACAGCCAAGGGGTGGCACTGGCCACCCCCCAGAATCCCATTGGGGCACCATGCAGTAGGCATGTCTGTGGTTTATTATTTCATAGAACTAGAGGTTTAATTGACTTTTTACATGTATTTCAAATGTTCCACCCCACTATCCTGTTCACCCCGTCCAGAATTTTCTAGATCTGCCCCTGCCCACCATGGATCAATAAAGTCTTATACTTATACTGTATTTTGTTGTATTAATCTGAATTTGGACAGTAACTAAAGTTATGAAATCAATAAATTAATATAGTGGAGCAATAAAGTCAAAGTATGAAGTAACACAAAATCAAAATACTCAAGTAAAGTACAGATACCTCAAAACTGTACTCAGGTACTATAGTACTTGAGTAAATGTATGTTGTTACTTCCCACCACTGATGGCAGGGCTATTTGAACCATGCATAATTTATGTGAAAAAAGAAAACATCCATAAAATATGTTCCATTATTATATAATGCAGAGATAATTAATACAACATCAATTTAGCTTATTCACTCCTAACATGAGAAACTCTACAACACTGTAATCAGTGAATACTACTGCTAAAAAAGTATCACTTTGTTACTCCACTGTTAAATTATCAGGGTAAAGTAATTAACTCCCTGCCCTATATACCTTGTGTCCTAGTTGGGAAGCTTCTCCGCGGGCAGCGGTGGAAACGGGGTCAATTAGATGGCCAATTTCCTGCACGGTGGACGTCAGCTGCTCTTGTAGCGCCTGGAAAGAGGAAATGAAAAGTTTTTGTATTGAATTTTTATGGGGGACAGAGGTGCATTCAAATAAACCAGGAGGATATTGCTAAAAAACCACTTTAAGGTTCAATTATGAATTTATTGGCTATGGGTTTTGCCATGAAATATGCCAATCACAGAAGTTTGTAGTAGGATCCAAACTGTAGATCTGCCACAGGACAGATCAATGTAAAATACTGATCCACACTGAAGAAACTTCTTTTTAGATCCAGGAGCTGTTTGTGACCCACAATGGACAGAGACCTCATTTAAAACACTAATAATAGATCCATAATTTAACAAGGAGACAGCAAAAAAGTTGACTAAAAGTGACAGAGGAAAAGAACAAGACAAGTAGTAAATGCCGAGTCATTTTCTGATGGCTGCTCACCTCCAGTGAAATGTCATCCCTGCTGGGTAGGTTCTGGCTGACTGCTGCCAGAGAGGCCTGCTCAATGTCCCGGATACATTTGTTGATGTTATCAATTGACGAGTCGCACTCCCGCTGGCCCGGGGCCTTATCCCTGAGAACAGAATGGAACAGGAAAACAGAAAGCAGTAAAATGATTGGAAACAGTTACAGGGTGATGTAAGAGGAAGAAGGACCGAGAAGGTGATGAAAAGAAAATATTACACAGGAAGAGAGAAATGAAGGGTAAATGTTAACACAGCTATTCGTATTTAAAGCACAGACAGGTTCCAGGATGCCTCTTTATCACATGTCCTACCGGTTCTCACATCTGCTGAAACGTGGCCTGTAGTCTCTCGTCACTACACGGGGTGATAAACCCGGGAAGCCAGTTTAGCTGTGTGTTTCCAAGGATGGTGTCAAACTGAAATAAAACTCAAATAAAAAGCTTTTTGTGTAACGAGCCTAACAAAGCCCTGGGGTCAGTTTCTGCACAGTGAAGTCCATTCCTACCTGTGGTCTGTTAAAGGCCCAGGCCAAACTGCCAGTATTCAATGTGAGTCTAAAAGGAGGACTGTGACAAGAGCATCAGCTCTGAAAGAGATGCTAATCTGGCTGTGTGTGAATGCTAATGTCGAGCCGAGAAGGAATCTTAACATTCAGCGTGTTTGACACTGGGAATCACCTCATCATGGGCATCAGTTTTGTTCTGATCAGGTACAAAAGGTGAGGCAGAGGAGATTAAACATGTCAGCTGTGGAGGTGCAACAAAAAGAATCTGGTAAACCACGGTACTGAATTTGGGCAACATTTCACAAGGATGTTAAATTAGTCTCACAGGTGTTTTACAGAGCAACGTATACAAATAAAAGGAAGTGAAAGCTTTTAACCTTAATTCTAAATGTTCACCTTCTAAAATCCCTTTAAGTTTGCAGACATATTAACATCCTACAGGGATTAGAAGAGTACAGTGGTGTAAAACTGGGGAAAAAGATTCAAAGCTCAGGAAATGTGTGTCACAGAGCCTCCTGTAAAGCTGCAACATGTGCTGTGTTTTGTCACCTGTCCCATTTGGATCACAAATCTCTCTTACTTACCGGATGGCTGTGATGAGACTCTTGATGGAATCCGAGACGACCCGCGAGTGACCAGCCAGGACCGACCAGGTGGGCGGGTCTTTTGGGTTGATAACCAACGAGCGTGCGGTCTTGAGCAGAAGGGTGGAGCTGTCAAGCATGGAGCGCGCTGACTGGAGAATGGGCTCCTGTGCTGCAGAGCCCTACAGAAAAACAAGAACAAATTCAGCAAGAATGTAGACATGTATGTATTTATTACATCCTGTTTTTGCAGGCTTGTACTGATGTAATGCTGCCCAAGAACACTGCAGAATACTACTGTTCACATGGCCTTACCTCGCTACTGATTTGAGCTGGGACGCTGGCAAACTCCGGGTTGGAAGCAAATGTCGTCAGGTTTTCCACAGCCTCAATTAGTGGAGCCGTGGCAACTCGACACCTGCTCCTGTTCTCGTCGGAGAAATCGCCATCTAAAGCCTAGAAAGTGAGCGCAATGGAAAGTGAGGGTGCATGAGCATAAACTAATTAATCTTTAAAATCTATTAAGTCAAGAATGAAACTAATCGCTGACAGAGGTTTGGTGGAAATTAGTTCTATGAGCTGCATATATCAACAAATACAAGGTGCAACTCATCACAATTTATTTATCAACATTATAAAGGACATTACTGTCAAAGCTAAACTCATAATGAAATCCTACCTTGATGGTTTTGACCAAGTTGGCGGTGCTGTTGGCCACCTCCTTAGCAGACTGGACAAAGTGCCTCTTGGCGACTGGGTTGGTTGTCTTGGAGGAAGCAAGACGGCAGGCGTTGCACAGCGCCGATGTGTGCTTAGCGACAATGGTGGCTGCAGAGAGCACCTGCCACATCAGAAATAATAAAACGGTGAAACAGCAACTGAGATTTCACCTCAGAGAAAAGTTCAGTCATCAAGTCCTCACTCCCTGTGTCATGCCCACATATCAACCTGAGCACTGAGGGAATAAAAGTCTGCACCCAGTGCACTAAAAGATATTCACTATAGTAAGAACAAGCATCTCCCCTTAAACTTCTGATATATACTGTATACTGCCAGAGCTGGAAAGTGACTTATCGACAAGAGCGTGTGGAGGGTATATAACTAGACAAAAACAGTCGGTCTTCGAAAAAGAATGCTGTTGAGGAAATTAAGGTGATAAGGAGGTGAATGATTTATTAACTTCTTAAACTTTCAGGTTTAAACTATCAAGTGTTTGTAGAGCGCGCGCACACACACACACACACACAGAGGTATTGTAGTTGAGTCACTACAGCTTGAGTCTGAGTCCAGTCTGGAGTTGTAGCCTATTACAAAAAAAAAAAAAAAAAAAAAACACAAACAAAACACTAAGTCCTAATATCCAACTTTGAGTCTGAATGCAGTCAGTGCTGTTGTCAGTGTCTGGCTGACTGCCACACGGAGACTATCACAGATGCACGTACCTGGGACGGACTGCTGTCTGCGTCAACCAGATTCTGACAGGCCATCTGGATGGCCTGGTTGGCTTTGGCGAACTGGACGGGATCCACCAGCCCCTGGTGACCGGCCTGACTGTTGGGATCAGACACACCCACCAGGTAGGAGGCCTGAGGAGAACCAACACTTGTCACTATCAGACTCATCAGCCGTCACATCACTACTAGCAACGAACCATTTCATAGCTCCTATACAATAATTCACCACAGGTTCTACACTGTACCTGTCCTGCGGCCTCAGTGAGGCCACACAGAGCCTTGGACGCTGATCCCACACAGTCTCCGAATGCAGACACATCCCCGGTCTTGCAGTTCTGAGAAATCCCTGCCATCGACTCTCCCAGGACCTGGAGGGAATGCCACCAGGACAGATAGAGAAGAAAGAGAGAACTGTTCACGATGCTCAGCTGCGTGTGTGCAGAGCGTGTGCGGTCTTTGTTTGCTCTTAAGGCCTACCTTGGAGTTCTCCATCACACTCTCGATGCAGTCGAAGTAGGAGAGGTCACTGACCGGCTCATTGGGATTGTCCAGCATTCCTCTGACAGCCTGAGACATCGGTGCACAGCGAGTGAATTTAAAATCTGTGTTTACCAGCTTATCAATTCTCTCAGAGAAAATTTGTACAACTGTAATTTTCTTTTGGTTTCTACACAGACAAACTGTGGTAAATAAACCTTTACCAAGATCAGTCTAGGAAACAGAACTAACCCCATCATCCATTACCTATACCGTTTATCCTGAAGAGCTGCGGGGGTGGGGGTGGGGTGATATTGCTGTGTTAAGGTGTTGTTTACCTCCAACTCTCTGAGGGCGTTGTCACACTCCTTCTGGCCAGGGGCCTGCTGCGTGCACAGCATGATCAGCTGGTTAATGCTGTCAGTCACTGCTCTGAAACAAAAGAACACACAGAAAAGGAAAATCACACCCTGGTCATCAGTGGTGAACGGCAATAAGTGACATAAGTGAGCACATTTATGGGAGGTTGCTGCGTGTTAATGACCAAGCATGACTATGCGTCCGTGTGTGTGTGTGTGTGTGTGTGTGTGTGTGTGTGTGTGTAGGCTTATGCTGTTTATCAGAAAGTGTCAGTTTTGCTCTTATTCGTTTTATTACAAGTGAGGTTAGCAGCTGCACCATTAGAGCCTGTAATGAGTGAAGTTAAGGCTTCCATGGCAGATGTCAGGCTGCATTTCACCGTTAACTTGGGCATCACAACAAAACACAAACCTTGATGGACAATCATTGTTGGGCTCAATATGTTGAATGAGTTAGTTACTGTTTAGTGATTTAAAACCAGTTCAAACAATAGAAGGGTTTTTAGGCTGACAGCTGGATGAACATACAGTGTTACAGTCCAATGCATGCCAAACAGTGCAGTTACATTGTAGTTTAAATACCTAGCACTTCAAGAAAACATTACACACACTACATTATATACACTATGGGGGAAAAAAAGCATAAAGATGTGGATGTTGGTATGCGGGTAGCTGTGGTACCTTGCAGCAGCAGCTAGCAGGTTCTTGGCATTTGCTGCTGCAGGGTCTACGGACAGACTCTTAGCAGCCAGCAGCAACTTGCTGGAAGCCATGGATATGTTCTTCAGGTTTCCAATCACCTGCAACTGGTCATCCTTTTTCTGAAATGACACACAATCATAATAGTATGAGATCGGCAAACTCGCATCAACACAAGAACCTGAGATACAACAACGCCAACCTGAGTATGCCCAGCCATCTCAATTCCAGCATCCAGGAACTCGTCGAAGTCTTGGCTGAACTTCCCCGAGGCCACCGCCAGCTGGCTGCTGGAGCCTCTGGAGGCGTGGACCACCTCGCCTGCTGACTGGTTCAGGTCTGCTGCCGTTTGGTTCAGCTCACTCTGGGCCTCCTGAAAGGACTTGGAGGCTGGAGGGATCTGAACAGAGGACAGACAGAAAAAGTCTAGTGGATGAAAAACAGTGAAATACAGAATGATCATACACTACTGTTCAAAAGTTAAAGAACATCTCTGTCTTTCCAGCTGGTATCAGTGTAGTCCAACAGCCGAACACACCTGTGACATTCTTTCTACAACTGAAATCAAACAGCTGGGACAGACAGCACAGCTGCACAAGTTCCCACAGGCGTGTTGCTTTGCCTTCACTCTGGACACTGCGATGCCGTTCCATCATTCTCCGCAGCTTTTAGGCGTTTGTAGCTCATTATCCTGCTACAGGATGAGGCCCTGAAAAGCTCTGACTTCCTTTGTAACAGTACTGCCTTTGTACAAAGAGAATCTGTTAAGTCATTAACTAAAGTTGGGACCTGTAGAAACTGTTTGCATCAGTCTTCAAGGCTTTGTTTACTTCCACTGCTGCAGAAAAGATGTGACTTAATGCATTACAAATCCCATTAATTTACATACATTTTGTTTTTGGGGACTTTCTTGCCTCTGGCAGTTTACTTCTTAGCTTTGTACCATTTAAGGTTATTCACTGGAATCAAAAAATTGAGGTGACAAACCTTTCAACAGTATTGTGTTATATCAGAGAGAACAGCTAATGTGGTGCGTTTCTTGACCCTTTAATATAAACACTATGGTCCACATGTGATAGCAGTCTGGCAGAGTTCTGGTGAGTCACAGACCACACTCACAGTCTCTATCAGCAGCTTCTTGCTGGCCTCCCCGATGCTCTTGAGAGCCATGTCCACATCCTTCTGGCCAGGCAGACAGTTGACGCAGCTATTCAGGGAATGAGACACGGCCTTGGCCACCTGGACACATGGCACATACACATCAGACCATAACTGATGTCACTATTTTGCTATTTTTTGTGTGTTGTGTTTGGCATCAGGGGCCAAACAGAAGCACAAGACAACAAGATGTCCTCAAGAGCCAAAGAGCATGTTACTCAATATTGTATCCAAGGCAATTTTGTGATTCTCTTATTAATTTCTCTACACAAGAAACATAATTTATACAACTTGTGGAGAAAATGAGGGCAACAACATATAAATAATTAATGTATTTTGCCTATCCCAAAGGGCTTTTCAGAGGAGCCCCTTGCTATATTTGACAGGTGTGACAGTGTCTCTGAGGGCATCTATCCATCCTAAAGTCAAACTGTATCTACATAAAACACAGAGGATTCAATGATTTCAATTTAAAGTTTAGCATCTTTGACTTTACTCATCCACGAGTTCAAAGTTCATTAAAAATGTAACTACAATAAAACTATTAATAAGTAAACATATCCCAGACTGAGAACAAACACAGCTGTAGGAGGGTGCAGACAAGTAACCGAAGATCCACACTGCAATTACAAGTGAATTAGTACTCATAATAAAAGTCACATGGATTTATATAATTTGAAAGTACGTTGCAGTATGTCTGCATAATCTGCTGCACTAACATTTGGTGGTGTTAGCTTGTTGACACAGGTGCTAGAGTCTGACAGAAGGATGAAGCTCCCAGCCTGCAGCATCAAGAGTCACCCGTAACATTAAAAAGAGCAGACAAGCCAACTCCATACCCCTGAGCGTTCCCGAGCCATCTCACCTGCGCCAGCCTCTGCTGGCTCTCAGCGTCTCCCGGAGAAATCAGAGCCTGCTTGGCCTCGTGAATGAGAAGTGCTGAGCCCTCCATAACATCACGAGCCGAGTCCAGCATGGCGGCCGCAGCCTTAGGGTCTGTGGTAGAAGCAGCGACGCCACGGGCCGCCTGGGCCAGGGTTTTCAGGGCCTGAGCCGTCTCCCTGGCTGCTATTCCTACACACACAGATTCAGTGGTTAGAGTCAGTACAGATGTGGCAGACATCAGGTGCAGTAGGAAAGTATCTCATTAGCATCAAAGGACATTTATAAAGCTAAGATAATATTTCAAAGCATTAAAACTGGCACAGAATCGTGAGCGAGGTTTGTTTAATATATAAAAAGTCATTGCTTTGTCTTGACAGCTCAGCAACAGGCAACACAAACAAAAACGTAATCTGGCTGAGGAGGGTGTTTGGTTCACAGGCAGAAACAGACATTAAGAATCTCACAAAGAAATGTCACTTGGATGGGATAAAACCAATGGGATGGAGCCTATTAGAGTGTATGCTGCAGTTAAGAAGATTACTGTAGGAAATGAAAACACGTTCCAGCTGACAGGAACATTTTCCTCCCACGTTCTATGGAGAACCATGTTCTAACCAAGGACACTGTGTTTGCCACAAAGCAGCCTGTTCAGAACACCATATGAGATGAGGGCTAAATATCAACTGACTGTTGATGCTGTATATTGGAGTAGATTAGACAATCACATCTCAAGCATTTCAAGTATTCTGAATTCACGTGAGAAGTCATTAAAGTTGTGACTGTGCAACTTTAGCTCAAAGTTAGATGCTCAGGAATCTGCTATCGCATCAATGCTCCTAGTAGCTGCTTGGATCACACAGCAAACATAGCATGTTTCTGACTAAGGGGTCAAGAGGTATGAAAACTAAAGGTCAGAGTAAAATTGTAAAGATTTCTTCCTTCCTTCTTTGCCTAGGGGGTCACAAAACCTCTGCTCCTTGTCAAAGGTAAAAATATTTTACAGACGTCCGTAGATCTGAAGCACCAACCTGTGTAGTGTTCATTTCCTTGTGCAGCACAGGTGAGCAGCTGAGCCATAGAGGATCCCACTGACTTAGAGGTACTGCCCAGATCCTGAGCACACTTCTCCAACTGAGGCAGAGGGAACAGGGAAAAACAACTCAGCAAATGTAGATACTGTATATATAATAAAACCTAAGTATCAGCGTGTGAGATTATTAGATTCTGCTTTGGCAAGTAACAGGTAGTGATACTGGAGTGAAAAACTGCTACCTTCAGTTTAAGGCTCGGATGAATCTTGGGCCTAAAATGTGCCTTACCGATTCTCCAGGTAGTGGTTTCAGTTGGGCATTACCAGCAGCCAGCTTGGCATCTTGCAGCTCACTTCTCAGGGTCTGGATGGCCGTGAGCGCAGAGTCGATCTCCATGGGGCCACAAGCTTCATGAGCCTAAAGAATGAAGCAGGTCTTGGTCACATTTCACACAGCTACAAAGGGGTACTATTTGCTCTAGTGACCCTTCAATAGAAATATGTGTTGTTAATTTCTTCTAGTTAAACGTTCAAAAATACATTTGCAGCAAATTCTGTACTCGAAGAAAGCGCAAACTGTTGCCATGACTTCGATGATTCAGAAGTCTGATGTGCGACTTAAAAACCTCTAACACAGCAGTTTACACATTCAGTGCATGTAACAACAGCAGTAACAACAACAAGCTGTCACCACGACTTTTACCATTAAGCTTATCATTAGATGACACGAGGAAGTACAGGATCTCTGGAATGATCCAAGTATGTCAGGTGGGTCACAGGTAGTCTGCAGGTCTAAAATGCAGTGATTTCATGTGAATGCGCCCACGTGTGAGTGCCTCTGTGGATCTGTGCTCTACCTTCTGTGCTGACGTCCTCAGCTCGGCCAGGCAGGTGGCCAGGTTCTTGGCACACTGACCCAGTTGCATCGCTGCAGCCTGATCCGTCACCGTGGGAACAGATGACTTGGCTGAGGTCACCATCTTACTACCAGGCTACAGGGAGCAAAAACAAGGACTTTTAAACAACAAAACAAGTTAAATATTTTCCCTCATAGTATTCAGAAACTGTATAAAAACCAAGCGTTGCCTTGGGCAACAAGGAACAAAGGTTAAATTATGTGCTGGAGGTTTCACAGAAAGGTATTTGTGGAGCTCTACAAGCACCACTGAGGCATTAAACTCACTACAACGGTGCTTCTTTAACTTCCTGCTTCTTTCAAAAAGAGGCTACAGGCCTATTTTAAATGGGCCCCCACATGACAGAAACACTATTTATACTTTGTTTAGCCTGGTTCCCAATGTAGGACTGAAGTAATTCAGTTTTATTATGGGCACATCAAGGTTTAACAACCCATTCCCCAGCTAAAGTGAGAAATGATGAGGCTGTGGTGTGTGTGGGTGTGTGTTGAACCTGTAGGAAGTTCTGGCTGGCAATGATGAGGGCTAGTTGTGCACTGAGGTCCTCTGGTTTGGCCTGACTGCCACGTACACCCTGGACAAGCTGGGGGATGTGGTCTGCCACTGCCTATACACACATAGATACACAGTCAAAGCCGACACGCACCTGAACTAAAAACTTCAGTGAGCAATTAGGATGCACACAAGACGCTGACATCAAACACCTGATACGAAGAGCTCAATAAGGGTGTGAGGTGAACCGTTTCAATAAAAAAACAGGACAAATCAAACTAGAATTATCACCTTGTGGTTGTAATGCTTCCAACAGCCAGTCAGGTTCTTATGAGGCCTGACAAAACCTAATGATTCATCCCTGAGTCCAAGTAGACGTTTGTGCTAAATTCGAAGAAATCCCGTAAAAGCATTCCTGAGATACTGTGTTCATGAGAATGGGATAGACGAACAACAGGTCAACACTGCACCTCCAGCTACAGCTAAGGCGTGGAGGCATAAAAGCCATGAAGAAGCAAACTGCGCCCTACTGTCAGCACTGATCCTCACCTTACAGCTCTGCACCAGCTGTTGGTGAGCAGCAGTGTTCTTGTTGGAGGCAGCGGCGTTTTGAGCAGCGGCGATGGTCTGTGTGGCTGCAGCTGCAGCTTGTTTGGCAGCATTCTGGAGAACATATCAGGACACAAGTTCAGGTGGTTACACACTGGCCGTCTCTCAGCAAGGCCACACTCCTGCTTCAAATTAGAGTCTTGATATTTTTCTGCTTGTGGTTCCTTATATTTCCACAATTTCAAACCACAGATGTTAGTGAAGCACCTCCAGGAATGGAGGCCACATGAATAGATAAACAAGTGTATATATTAAAGCATTTCAGTGTAAATACAGCATTAAGTAGTTCTGTCCTTAAATCTTCTTCTTCAGTTTAAAGTCCTACACCTTGTTTTAACAAAACCGCTTAGAATAAACTGTCAATAATAATTATCCTGCTATTTCTATAAATAATAATAATAATCACAGTATGATATACACACACACACACACACACACCCTGTTAATGAGCCAAACATTTTACTGTAGTTAGATATTGAACGATGAGTCAAACACCACTGAGGCAGATGAGTCCCTCTAGATCCTTCTTGAAGATGCCGTTTAGTTTCAGGAACATTTCAAATACACCAAACCCCAGTCTGTCTAAAACCCTGATATTTAATGATGAAGGACAAGCTGCTGAAATCGGCATCTAATCCTCGCTCATCTTGCCAAGTGGCGTTTGTTTGTTACTGCTGATAACCAGCTGCATCCTCAGATACAGCACTTACACATTGTTGTTTAGGACTGTCATGTTTTCATTGTATTTGATTTTTGCCTCTTTCTGGATTTTCACCTTTTACACACAGACGTGTGTAAAAGAGGATGCAACAGAAACGGCGCCTGGTGGTGTCACCGACCTCCAGTCTGTTGATCAGTTTCTTCTTAATGGCGCTCTGAGCGGCAGCGTTGGTGGCCACACGCAGCCCCTCTGCAGCCTCCCTCAGTCTTTGCTGCTGGTCCTCGTTCTCTGGGTATGCTGCAGCGCCCTGAGAACACACACACACACACACACACACAGGTGAGCGGGCAGGGTAAACAGTTGACGTGAAGATGGGAAGACAGAGAAGTCCGAATGACTGTTTCAAAACATTTCCTGATTTTGTACAAACTTAAAAAAAAAAAAAAATCTCTTTTGCGCATGATTTCTTTTAGGAAAGCATTAAGATTCCTGAGTGACTCATGTTAGCACTCACCACTTCACACCCCCCTACTGGAACAACCAGCAGACACACCCACACAACTGCCATCAGGTCTTTGAAAAATGACGCAGACTTAATCACAGCTCTCAAACTCAGCTGCAGCTCCTCTTCACTCAAACAATCGCTGCTTTGTTGACGGCTAAATGCCAAGAAACATTGTCTATTCATATTAGAAAGCAGCTCTCTTTATTTTCCTTTTAATGTGTCCAGCAGTACAAGTTAACTGCGTTCTGTGGAGACTGATATCGCTTAGTGCATCCATGCCTCCTGCTGCTGGAGAAAGCTAAGCCCTGTGCCATTAGGCTAATTAACTGGGAACTCCATAGTTACACCCACAGCTACACACAGAGCAAGCCCATGTTATTAAAGTAATGTTTAAGCCCACAGCTGCTGCAGGCAGACGTCTCGACGAACAGAGATCTCACCATCAACAAGGAACGTAAATGTACAAACTATTTTTGTCGTTAAGCAGCAGGTTGACCGCATTTTGTTGCTTTTCAAGACTTTGGTACAACATCTGACTAAATGTAGCATTAATCACAGTAAAATGTTGGTGACAAATTCCAATCAGAGGAGTCTGCAGCTGTCATGTGTCTGTTGGCAACTGCTGACACCTTTTAAATAGAACAGCCAATTTGCATAATTATAAAAAGAGATGGTTTCCAGAGGGTCTAACAAGATATCACATGCACGAATTCATCGCGATTTCAAAAACCAAAAAGTCTGACTTACAGTGATACAGTCCATGGAAAATAAGTGTGATCACCTGACCACTCCATGCTTTAAAAAACAAGCATACAGGTGTAAAACACACTGTCCAAAAAGTAAACCGCACAGGCTCAAATCAATCAGTTACCATGGCAACAGCTGGCTGAAGTCGCAGCCTCCACTGACACAGATAAATATACAGCTGTGATGGTGATATGTCTGGCAACTCGACTAACCAGCTGGAGGGCGTCATTCCATTTTCATGGTGAAAGTGGGGAGTTATTAATATCAGTGTGTGATTCTGTGGACAGATAATGAGACTGAAGCAGAGCGAGAGCAGATAAAGAGTTTGGACAGAGGAAGACAGCTGAGTGGCACAGCTAAGCCTGGCCCTCAGTGGTTGGCCAACAAAGACTCTGATGTCCATTTGCCTCTAATTATGTTAAGCTGTAAGAACAAATTGATAGTAATGTAAATGCTGTTTGAATCATATTTTAAAATTATGTCCAAAACCAAAACTTGCAGACATACAGGATCATAAGAGTGGAGAAACAACAAATGCAGATGCTGCACAGTTTATGTCCACTTGTCCTCTTAGAGAGGGGGTCACTGCTGATCGATACAAAGTTGTTCTGAGCGATCACCTTTATGCTCATGCGAGCATCCACAAGACATGAGGGCTCACTGAATGGCCTGCTGAGTATAAAAGTGATATGCTGAGAATGAGATGCTGTGGCCTTCCCAGTCACCAGGTCTCAGCCCAGTTGAACAGCTATGGGAGATGTTGGAGCGACGTGTTAGACGGCGTCTCCACCAACATCATCAAAACACCACATGAGGAAATATCTGTTGGAAGAATGGTGCTCATGCCTCCAGGAGAGGTCAATGCCAAGGTGGAGCTGTTCTGGTGGCACGTGGTGGCCCAGCACCTCACTGGGACTCTGCGTCTTGAAGGTGAAGGATATAAAGACAGAGAGACTCTTGTCTGTATCGTCTGCTTGTGTATACAAACATACTCCTGGGGTTCTTCCCCCCTGTGCCATCACTGAAAATGTCACCTTGTGAGAGCCAGAGAAGCAAAGTCCAGCCAGTACATCTTTATCTCGTCTTAAGAAATTCCACTACTGTGACTGCAACCAGAGATTTTTGGATTTGAACTGCAGCATATAACGCCTGCATGGACTAAAGCATGCTTGACAGGACTGCTTCAGCTCAGTTACCTTACCTTGGCTGCCTCCACCATCCTTGCGGTGGCGGCAGCCAGCAGCTTAGCAGCTGCCAGTAACTTCTTAGAGTTGTCAACGTCCACCTCGGCCTCAGCATCAGACCTCATGGCGTTCACCAAGTCCGAGGTGGCCTGAGCCAAGACCCGAGCCTGCCGCACCATCTCTCCTGAGAGGACAAACAAAGGTGAAGAAATGAGGAGAGGAAACTGTGAGTGTTAGAGTCTAATGAGAGATTAATACAGTAAACTTGCTTTAAATGAACTGATTAAGTGTCTTCTAGTGTGAACAAGTCAGACTAGAAAAACACAAGCCATTTTGATTTCTTCAACCACTTGCCATATACGACAAACTGTGCTTGATGAGTCTTTTCCAGTGTGCAGGGCAGGGTTCAGAATAATTCAAATTAAGGCTGGCAAACCTATGTGGAGCAATATTACAACAAGACGGCGCCGACTTTTAATTTGATCCCAGTGAGAGAAGGTTTACTTGTTAAAACGTTAACTTGCACTGTGAGTGCTTGAAGTCGTAAACAGCTGTGAGCTTTTAAACACAAAGGTGTAGGATTTGAATGTCAGCACGGTCAGAAAGCACCTGGTGGGGGAGAACAAGATGCAACAGTCAAACATATTTAGCTCAGTGTGGTTGTGTTTGTCACGCAGCTGGACTCCTGATCACATCTACATAATACTGTAACATCTGTAGGGAACTGCTCCATCGACACTGGGGTTTTTGGCTCTCACTGAAAAAAACTCTAAAATAATTCTAATGAAGTAAGAGAGAAAGAATAAGGGAGCGATGTGTCTATTCTCCCTGCTAAAGCAAAGCTGACACATCACAACAGCTATTTGGCGGTCAGTGTTTATAATTCATGTGAATGTATCAGCTGATCTGCCAACGCCCCACCACACAAGGATTCACTCTTCTTTAATCTTCACATTTCGTTGCTGCACACACATGCCAGGCGTGACATAACCTGACATATCTGACACCAGCACAAAGGTGGTATGCTCCAGCTGGTGCCGGTATTCAGGCCTCAGCAGAGCCAGCAGCATTTCTACTCGTCTGTCAGGCCACTCAATCCGTCTGAGCTGAGCGCTGGGCCGGGATCGAATCTCTCCGTCTGTCTCTGCTGTCAGACTTGTTAACATCACTGTCAGCTTTTCACTGTGGCTTCGCCAGGGCTGACAGCCGTCCATTCAGACCCACCATCATGCCAGTCTCTCCGAGAAGAAGATGGGATGAGGCACGTTCAGATAGACAGTAAGCCATCTCTTCAGAAACCAGAAACCTGAGAGCTGTGGCAACAGCAACTAGACTTCCTCCTGTGCACCCATTTTCATGAAAAGCATCTGGCTGAGCCAGGTCACATCTGGCCAGATTTCATGTTGTTTCCCAACACGACAAGAGTCAAACCTGCATCTTATTTAAGTGAAAACATGAGGCAGTGGAGTGAGTTCAGAGACACTGACGGCTGGTTTTTGGGGGAGCATCAGGCAGATTCAGGTACCTACCTACCGAAAGCATGCCCAGGTATGTCTCAGAAGAGCCAGCTGACTTTTTTGCCCATTTTGTCAATATTTCTATAAAAGCCTTTAACTGCTAAAGTAAAGGTGTTCACAATAAGTATGCTAACAATTATCACATACTGTATAATGTTTGCCATGTTAATCATTTTGACTTAGCAAGTGTGTTTGTTTGCCAAGTTATTACATGAATATCTGCACCAAATTCCATAACAATCGACCTAACAGCCACCAAGACATTAAACTGTAAACCCCAAATATCAACCTTGCATCCTGAGTGTGGGGCTGAACTTGTGGATATCATCACAGACATCACAAACTGGCTGCTGGTCCCTCCGGGGTTTGCTACCGAGCAAAAAGGTCAGTGGATGATGCAGCCAACATGGCACTACATCCTGCAACACCTTGACTCCCCACAGACCTATGCACAGGCCCTCTTTGTGGAATACTGTATTGTAAACGTCTCCACAGCGGGTGGATGTGCATGCAAAACCGAGCTTTGCATCAGCTTCTTTTGGACCTACCTGCATCTCCCATTGAGCTGAAGATGCTCTCAGTGACAGTCATGATGGTGTCCGTGGCCTGGTCATAGCGCCCAATAGGCTCCCCCCTCGAGGTGTACTGACGCACGTGTTGCAGCAGATCTGCCAGAGCCTGGTTCACCACGCTGGCTGCGGCGCTCACCTTCAATGCAAGAGACACACCATCAGCATTAGTGCTGCGTTATTCCCTGCTGCTCATTCAACTCGAGTGGGCAGAGGCACACCGGACTCATTATCTTCATTGCTTCTTAAGCTGTATATTAGTACACAAACTCAACAGCCTAAATAAAAAGCAGCTGCGTGGTTTAACTGAAGACAATCAGTTTTCCAGGAAATAAAAACCATTCAACTAATTTGTTCCTAATTCGTGTTTACTGTCAAACTTGTGATAAAACTTACTTCCTGAAACTAAAGCAAAGCCATCATATAAGGGACAACACAGTTAAGTGCAGTGTTTGTTCACACAGTACTGCCTCTGACCTGTTTAAGGAGCTCGCCGTCCTGTGTGGCCGAGAGGCAGGCCTGGACACAGCTTTCCACCGAGCGATCCACCAGCTTCCCCGCTTCGACCAACTGCTCCTGGCAAACTGGGGAACTGATGGTGGGACTCACCACCTACAGCAACATAGATGGGAGAGAGACATGACGGTGACAAGGTAACGCGTTCCAACTCTCCAGTGTGACCACAAAAACCAAAGATTTTGTATTTCTCCAGTTGAAACCATTTTCAATCATTTAGAAAACGTAGCCAAAAAAACAACGGATGGGAGGTCAGACTCAGAAGGAATATCTGCATTCAACTAACCTGAGGTGACTAGAAACTAAACAGCTGACAGATGTGACACACTGCTGTAGCAGTTTTTCATCAGTAAATCACTTTTCACAGAGACAGACGGGAGGAAGAACTGATCTGAGAGGCATCTGTCACATCATCTCATCACACCACCATGCAGAGAGGCGTTGTTTAATAAATCCAACTACTCGGCTCTGAAGCCAGGAGAGCATTTAAACTAATTAGAGGCACTGTTCAGAATGTGCAAATATGATGGGGGTGCGGGGTATTTAACAGTGCATTCTGATACATTCCTTCTCCATTTTTAGCTGCAGATGGATTTTAGGTTAGAAAGTATTTGAATAAATCACTATTTACCAAACATCAATGCATAGTCTACTTATGAGAAATGATTAAACAGCAAAAGGGGATAAACATCAGACAGCTTCAACATTAGTTTGTGCCTATAGTGATGTCCTTACACCGCTGCATGAGTAATATCCAAACCCGAGATAGATATGACAGAATAACTGGAAATGAGCATGACACCACTGGTGCATCATCTCCGAGTATTTGCATAATATCCACTGAATTTACCTTCAGGGAATTGGGTGCATCTTATACAAATACTGAGATGATGGAGCCATTCAGTTCAGTGAGTCTCACATTTCATGCTTGGATTTTTGGGCAGTTTTATTCAAATCACTTCAAAGTCCTGCAGCCGCAGTACCTTTGCACATGCCACCAGCTGGGAGGTGGACAGGGCACACTGGGTGGCGGCGGCAATGACCCGGTTCTGAAGCACGGTGTCCTCTGCAACCTGGGCCACGTTCTTGGCCTTCAGCACCAGCATTGCTGCAGCGTTGGCCACTGCTTTGGCCAGATTCATCAGGATGTCCTGCACAACAGGCGGCGAAGAGGAGAGACAACATGACCAGTGATCAGCAACTGAAACCCAGCGTGGCCTGTCCTGGAACAGGTTTTTGCACACACACACACACACACACATATACACATATATATATATACACACACATACATACTGGAGAGGAGTGGTACAGATTTGATCTCAGTATAACTTTGACTAAAACTGTATAAGAATCATGGTTCAGTAGGAGACATAAGATGGACAAGCCTAACATCTAGAAGAGGATTACATTCAAACAATAACCTCTGGTTAAAATGTGAAAACAAAGTTGTTTGTATATATTCCTTCCATATTCCTGTGGTTACAATGTGATTTTGATTAACTGAGCATTCATCCTTCTCTGAATGCAACGATGATGACAAGCTGGCGGGGCGCAGCGTCACCTGGAACCTCTCGTCTGTCTCGTTCTCTCCAATCTGTCGCAGGAGATCTCCGCTGGCCTGGCCAATGCTGCCTGCTGCTGTCAGCACAGTCTGTCTGGGCTGCGCACACACACACACACACACACACACACACACACACACACACACACAGACACAAAGAGAAAACCATCAAGATGTAGAACTGCTTTTAGATGCTGGAAACTGCATCATCTCTTATCTTAAAATATGGCTTCTGATTAACCTTTCCACTGCACCGTATGACTAAAAATCAGCACCATTTGAGCTTTTTGTGTAGTTTTCAAGCATTAGTATGTCATACAAGACTCATAAAAATGACAAAGGACCTGTGTCTTTAAGCTGTGCCCGAGGGCTTTTAAAGCCTCCCCACCAATCACCCAAACTGTGGCTGAGTATGTTAAAATCATACAACACATTGCTCGCCATGTTGTTAGTTATTTCATCACAAAGTGATTCAGTAGTTTGTTACTCTGAGACACAGTGTACTCTGAAAAACTAACCCAGAGGTCATGTGCTGTCTTTCCAACTACCTGCCTGTGCAACGCACACATCCAGAAGCTGGAAAAACCTGTGCATTTGGCTGATTAGTGGCCCAGCACCGTACAGTCCGTTAACTTCTGAATTATTTTTCCATTACAACATAACTACAAACTTCCAATAGGTGACAACATTACAGTCCTGCAAACTAAGCAGATGCAGATGTTTAGGCTGGGAACAAAACACTGTCGACAGCCAAAATCTGACATTTCAAAGAAAACTAATGGTGAAAAGTTTGCCTGCTGCACGGGCTCAAATCCTGTTTCACACATTAGTCCGTGTTTTCTGTTCTGTCTATTGTCTTCCCTCTCTGTTTGGTTTGATACCGTGGCCAGCTTGTGTGCTCCTCTAACATTTGAAGGACGACAATAATAACTCCTGCTACGTCCTCCAGACTTGTTGGACCTCAGCTGCAATCTACATCTACCTTCAACGTGTTGAATATGAGGCAGATGACAGAGGGGGAGGAGAGGGAACAACAATTCTAACTGACCGTTTTCAGCATAAAAATATCAGATACAGTGTTAAAATCTACATGATAAAGACAGCATATCATTTTCTCAGAGATGAAATTCCCTGAGCTCACCTCTCCAGAGGCTGGCTCCACAGCCTTCAGCAGGTCAGACACGGCCCCTGCTAGCGTCCTGGCAGCCTTCATCAGGTCGTTGCCTCCTCCTACGTCATCCTCCATCAGTGCAGCCAGCAGCTTCACGCCCTTCGACATCTCAGTCAGGTTGGAAGAGATGGTGGTGATGGCACAGCCTACTGCTGTGTAGTCTGTGTCCACCGGATCGCCTGAGCACGGGGACAGAACACAAACAAAGGCTGTTTGAGAAATAGAGTCTTTAGAGAAGTGACTACAACAAAGCTAATCTAAACTCAAGCAAAGAAAAATGTATGACGGGTCTATTAAAGCACAGGGAAACAGACCCAGAAACAAACTAGACTAAAGCACAGATAAACCCAGCTGACTTTAATTTGGAATGGAGAGAGCAGCAAAGAGCGAACACACACCTTCACCTGTCCATACTGACCAAATTACAGGTTATGAGGGAACTACAGTATCAGATTTGTTGTTTTTTTTTTACAGGTTCTACAGTTTTATTAATGGACCCCAGACTGATTGAAAGGTTCAGCTTTAAAGTCACAGTCCCTAAAATGTACTGACAGAACTGTGCGCAGGGGGCTCATAACTTCACTGGCTTCAGTAAGGATTCTTCCACACTATCATTTTCAATCAAAGCCAGTGTAGCGGAGTTATAATTCCATTTGCCATAACCCAAATAATTTGTTGCAATGGCATTTTATTTTGTTACTCCCTCCAGAAGTGAGATATGTGTGGTGGCAATAGATTGGGGTGCCCCTGCAAACTTGAGGGGGTGCAGCCCGTGCTGCTTCCTTATTCATGATAAGGAAGTGCGGTTCAATTGGCGCCAGTCTGCCATACACTCTCAAGGAGGTAAGTTGCGTTCGCATCATTGCTGCTATACTAGCATAGCATGACAATTGGTACCTAAGTCTAAAATTGTTTTTGTTCCCTTTTAGTTAATTTGAATGCCACGGAGCTAAAGCTGTTCTCTTGTTATATTGTCTTCTGTACCAGGTATTGTGCATTTTAATTTATTTTATACACAAACCAGTCTGCCATACACTCTCACGGAGTTACTTTGAATGCCACGGAGCCAAAGCTGTTCTCTTGTTATATTGTCTTTTGTACCAGCAATAAAGACATTTGTAGCTGAAAGATTGTCTCCAGCCGGGTTAATCACAACGCAGAGTACCTCGACACGGGTGTGACGAAATCATTCCGCTACACCAGCAGTCAACACTTTATAATATAAACTTATAATGCTGCCGTGCTTGACAGTAAAGCTTGAAATAAATCATTTGACTTCACAATAAATCGGTCTTTCTACCAGACAAACCAATTCATGACCTAAAGAAGAAGCCATCCCAGTGCCACTGACCAGCTGTGAGGTTGACCACAGACGCCGTTCCTGCAGTGATGGCATCAACCTGGGAGTGGATCTCATGTTTTGACTCATCCATTTTGTTCTGGATCCACACCTTGGATGCCTGCGTGCACAAAGAGGAGCACACATTGCGTGAATGCAGTTCATTTATCACTGGATGTGTGAGTGCGGTGTAACGTACCAAGTCCTGTCCCAGCGGTGGCAGGTTGTCAACCTCTCCCAGGTCAATCTGGGCTTTCTGCACAGCCTGCATACTGGTGTTGATGGTTCCCATCAGAGCCTGCTGTGCTGAACTCTACACACACAGCAAAATAAACTGAGTGTCTTACAGAATGAAGTCTAGAAACTAAGCTCAGGAAGATGACTGTCCCTGCATGAAGAAGGTTACATCCCAGTAACATGAACACCCCAGTCAGAGCCTTTCTGCTGTACTGGTCTCACCAGCGGTGGCATGTGTCCACGGTGCATCTGACCCATAGTGATTTGCTGCTGAGCAGACGGCATGGTGCCCATGCTGAGCGACTCTGTACCAATGGAGCCGGAGCGGATCACCCCTGGCAGCGCCACCGAGCCGTGCTCCACCCGGCCAACACGGTTAAACTGCTGCTGAAGGATGGTGGACCTGCAGGCACGCCGACAGGCAGACGGTTAACACAGCATCTCTAAATGCTTCCCAATTATTACCATAGCTGTAAAAACTTGTTCTTAAGTCACATGGTGTGGTGCAGAGAAACCTGCAGTTCCATTCTTCTTTAATGCTTTAAGACTGATCACGTTTGTTTCAGAGGCATTTTGATCAGACATCAGTGCAACTAAGAAAAGCACAGCTGTACTGTGGTCATAGCAGACACCAGCTGAAACAGTGGCAAGGACCAAGACATAAAAACATTTTTTCTAAGAAAGAAAAGTCATTAAAAGAAGACAAAAAGAGCATGTTTCTTGCTTTTGACTATCTATGGGAGAGACTTCACTCCAGGCTGTGTCTGACAGTGGGCCACTAACACAAAGCACACTGACACTGCAGAATCCTCCCACTGGGTACTTCTGGAAGACAAAGCTTTGTTTTGTTTTTCCTCAGATATGGCCTTCCAGACTGCGGCTTGCTGTGTGTTTGCAGCTCTAAAGACCTTTGCCTCCGGCCCTGTGCACAAACTCAAATAAAAGCAAAAAGAAAAAAATACAACAACAAGTGCAGCACATACTCTGAGTTGAAAGCAACGTTAATTGAGGCTAGACAGAAAAAAAAGGGGCGCCAGCCACGCTCTGAGTCGCCGCGGATAAATGAGCTAATGCACATCTAATCAGGAAATGCTCTGATAGAGGCTTCGCTTGTCCGGTGCTGCAAAATTTCCTCACACAACGATTGTCTCTCAGGATAAAGTCCAGCTAAGGAAGTGTTCATGTGGCGAAATGAGGTCCGGGGAGACGGATGTGTGAGCTGCGGTCGAGGGCGGCCGTGAGAAGGAAATTGAAAAAGGACCCAGTCCGACGGTGTTTTGTTGGAATAATATGCAATAACTCTGTGTGCTGCTTTTGTGCACATGGGCAACAGCTGATATGGGACTGGAATACAATAAAGCACTGCACTTCTAATCTACAGAACAAAAAGCTCGTTGTCCAGTAGTTTTATTTCCATTTTCTGGCTTTTATAAAGCTTCCTCTTTCTAAATCTACTGTTCTCAGGAACATTCTGTAGCACAATTTGCTAAAAGAATGACGACAACTGTTTCCAACGGTGACCGTGACTGATTCAACAGCGCTTTTCATAGTTACAGTACTTTACTTACTTTTTCGGGGATACAGATTCCTCAAGCATGGTCGACTCCTCGTCCCCTTCTAATCCAAAACGGTCCTTGCTTTGCTTCTGCAGGACAGAGGAAAAACATAACAAATACTGTTTTCCAAAGTAGCTAACAGAGATTTTTAAACAGCTGCTTGAGGGTATTTTGCTAAACAGATTTGTGGCGTCGGTGTCACAAGACAAAACCTGAGCCCAAGTTCATCAAGCAGCTTGGACCGAAACATTTCAGGGCCTACTTTTGGAGTAAGGACATAGCAGTTGAACGTTGTTAAGGCTGATCTTTAATATGCCAAAGCTGAACTAAACGAGCGATAAACGGGTCTTCCAGGTGTGAGGTATTTTGAAGAAGTGAATGAAGGGAGACTCAAATGTGATACATGTATGGAAGCAGTGGGTGTTAATAATCTAACACCCATGGTTCTGACAGCGGCAGCTAAAGGTCAGCTGGTTGCTGTAAACTGCACGAGGAATTCTCACTGTCCAGCTGTGTGTCACGGTAGACTGGGTCCATCATGCATCAACAGATCTGAGACTGTCACAGGAGGATATTGATTCGCTGTGATGCATCCGTGTCTCCGGAGATACCGTAAATGCCTCACCTTTTTGAGGATGATGTCAATGTAACCAGCAATAAGCTGGGAGATCTGTTCCCCTTCAGTGGTCTGCACCGAGTAGTAACTCTCCTGGTACTCACCAAAGTCCTGCACAAACACAAAAGCCCATCTTAAACATGCACGTCATACTGGCCTGTAAGAAAAGTACCCATTGTAGTGCTTGTACTGTACACATCCTGGGGATTACTATGAGTCCACAGATCCTGCTAGATGAATACTACACACAGTGTTGGGTGACATCAAACTACTTCAGCATTTAAATGACAAATCAAACTTCACATCCCTGCATCACAAAAACATACCGACTCAACTGCAAAGCACTCTGCTAAATTAGCAGTGAGGACGAGAGGCTGTGTTAATTTAACAGAGACAGTGAGTCCGCCAGAGCCGAGCCATTAAATCCATGTTGCTGACCGACTCTGGGTGCTGACACTGAGGAGGGGTATTGACAGGGAAGACAAAGGAGTCTGTTCAATAACTCGAGTGCAGGAGCGAGCGCAGACCGAGTGCTGATGGTTTTATGGCCACTGCAGGAACAGTTGAGCTTGCTGGTGATACTGTGCTTGGTGAAAAGATAAAATGGGTGCAAGAACAAAGCCAAACACAGCGGGAATTCGCATTCCACGTGCAGTCAGATGTCGCAGGGTTTCTCATTAAATCTTAGATGTGAATGCAGAGAGTGTGGGTCTCACCAGGGTGAAGCTCTTGGGCGACGCCGCCCACCTCTTCACAGTGGTAAGTGGCCACTCCTGAACCACATCTTTGGTCTTCTCGTCCACTCTCATCACAGACTCTTTGGTGATGCCCAGCAGCCGCGGCACCAGCTTGTTCTTACTCTTCATCTTTTCCTGCAAAGCGCACACACTTTATTTCAACCTTTCCAAACCCAATAAAAGCACCAAACCATTAACAGTGAAAGGTGCTTCAAAATCCTAGACTTTCATTGTGTAAAGGCCTTCAACTTTAGTCAGATGAAGATTATCACAGCTGGCACAAGAACATCTGAGGTTTATTCGTCAGCGACAAAAACAGTAGTTCACAGAAAAAATAAAAATAAAAAGAGCAAAGTTAAAATCTCTTTGGGTGGTTCAGATGTCGAACAGGATACACAGCACAAGGATTTGATTTCAAAGCTTGTTTCACCATCTACACTTTTACATCACAGCACAGCTGCAATTTGTAAATGATGAGCTGAACAAATAGCTCTCTCCACTTGTTCAGGAAGGCGCTGGCTTCTCCATCAGCCGCAATCTTTCCTGTAGGATTAAAATGCCCTTTAAAGCAAATGGGCTTCATCTCTTCCGTCACATTTACAGTAAAGGAACCCAAGCTGCTTCCACTTAGTGGCAATTAAATCTCCTTGTCATAACTGTGCTGTGACAATTATTTTATTATTATTTACTGCTTTTAAGCTTGATTTCATAGCATGTATGTTCTGATATGTCTTATATTTATATCCATTTTCCGTCACCTGTATACATATACAAGGCACCTGTGCAAAACAGCTACGTCTCATTGGTCCACACTGGGTAAAAAAAAAAAAAAAAATAGACTGAATAAATAAAAGGACAGAAAATCAATCAACTAGACACTGAGCTGGCGATGCAAACCATTTTAAATGCCAATACGACTCCCACCAGGTAGCATCTCCGTCCACTTTCTTTTTCTTTAATGTTCACTTTCCTGTGCCTGCTGAGAGAACAGGACAACAGCTGAAGAACGATTTTTAATTCATGGCCTCGCGGCATGAAGCTCTAATTTTGCCATCACACTGACAGGTATTCTGTCTAGGCAGCAAAAAAATTTGCAGTTAGTGATTAAAATGTCTCAACTCTCAGCCTTCAATTAAGTTATTCTTTGAACTTTTTTTAGCGTGTAAAGTCTACAGCGCCTCGGTTGATGTCCAGAGGTCGTTCACTAGTGGTGCAGGAGCCGGTGCTCAGCAGGTTGTGCTGAGGAGTTGGTGATGCTCCCAGTGTTAGTACAGAACACTATTGCTCGATGGCAGACTAGCGCTGGAGGATTTCAGCTGGTCGTTCACTAGTGGTGCAGGAGCCGGCGCTCAGCAGGTTGTGCCGAGGAGTTGGTGACGCTCCCAATGTTAGTACAGAACATTATTGCTCGATGGCAGACGAGCGCTGGAGGATTTCAGCAGCGCTTCTCTGACCTCCCATGTGACTGCACTGCCTTTATGCAGAGTTCTTATTTCAGATTATTTCAGCTGCAAGTTTGTTGTGTTTAACTGGCTTCAACAGAGCAATTGACGCACTGTTTCGTTATACTTAACTTCCCAGTATGAGGCAGATGGAAGCAGCAGAAACAGCCACAGCATTAGCTCATGCACCACAGTGCACTGAGTCTTCACTCCTAAATCCTGAATGGGCTGCAAAGTTTGCAAAAACCATGGGTTCCAGGTTTGTTTGGTTGTAGTTTTATTACAGCATGATAGGAAGTACAACATGGACCCGCTGTACCACAGGTGGTACTACGCTGTCGCCTCGACATTTTCCCAAAAATACATAAAAGCACAACTGAAGTTAATGTGACATTACAGAAGTTATATTGGCTTAACATTAATCAATCTAAACTTGATCTAAACCTATCAAAATCTTATTTTAGGCATTTTAAGACTTTTGAGGTCTTGAAGACTTTTGATAAATACAGATTTTTGGATTTTTGTAAGGTTCCACAAACCCCCAGTAAACAGTGAATGTCCAGTCGCCCTCTGAGTTGATGCACAGCTGACATCTTCTCCTTTCCCCTCACATGGAGAGAGCAAACGTTCCTTCAAGGGCTGCAGTCAGGGAGCACATGGATAGAACCTGGTGGGCTGTGACATGAGAGCCAACAGGGGAGCTGTTTAAAGTTATGGAGGGTCTTTAAACTCTCTGGGGCCTCCAGGTGTATTGACTATAGGCCACATTACTTCCAGGGTTATTTTTAAGATGTTTCTGCTCCACTGGACCATGTTTGACGACGACATAAACGACAAAGGTGAGCAGGCAGGACGTCAAACTGATCAAGGGAAACAGATCTAAACCAGAAGGTGGATTATGGTTTAAGGGTTTTTGTGTTTTAAACTTAAAATAGAATGAAAGGCAGGGCACAGTGTGGACTGTGGAGTATGTGTGCCTCATCGTTACCCCGATCCTTATGCTCTGGCGCTGATGAAAAGCCAGGAACTGTCAGATTCGGTAACAGCAGCACAAGTGACAAGCAACCACCAGGAGTCGTCTCATTTTCTACAAGACCTCGGCAATGAACTCAGAAATACTGACAAGACCAATTTCTCGATGCAGACAGATGTCTCCTGTGCCTTTATGCTCGATGTCCTCTGCTGACAAATGATGTGAGAAGAAGAAAAAGAGTTGCCCGTCCCAGCACTTCCACAGGTACTCCCAACTGTAAAATCAGCAAACTGCTCCAATCAGCAGGCATCTGCTGACAGCTGGACTTATTTGGGAGGGTCCCAGCTTCGCCTGTACGACGTCTCTCAGTCTCTCTCACACACTTCACTTCCTCCCAGCTCGCTCTGAAATCATCTTAGTGCCACACTCGGGTGCACAGACAACATTTGGTTTCCTTCAGGAAAACACGGAACTCCCTGCAGAGCAGGTGCTGCTGGCGTGTGTTTGTCTTTCAACTAAAAACTTTCAACTCATTAAGGCCATGGTAAATTCAAAACTGTATAACAAAAGAAAAACTAATTGTTCATTTTAGCAACAAATAAAAGAACGAGTGAACACGTTCTCACAGAAATGTTGCATTACTTGTGCAAACAGGACATTTTGTCAGTACGACGTTCAGGCCGCCACTTTTCTAATCCAGGTGCAAGAACATGCACAACTTTTGTTCTATGGACACTTTTAGGGTTTCAGATCCTCCTTCGGCACCTTTTTCTTCTAAACATTAAAACCGAGCTAAATTAAAAAACAGCTGTTTTTGAAGCATTAATGCTGTGCAGTGTAACTACTGTATCTTCTCATCTTTAGTGATTTTTACCTCATTTTGTTTTTATTTGCACAATCGCTACATTACACAAGTGTTTGAGCATTTTGTTTGAGCAGGACATTTCTACTGCAGCTCTTGGTTTAGGCGACATGAGCAACTTGTGAAAGGCAGGACACCGACAGTTTCCCCACTGGCTGGTTAGTGCCTTCTTAATCCAGTTAACAGAACAGAGAACAGATTTCACACTAAGGAGAGAAAAGGCTCAACTAAGTCCATAAAATGTTGTTTTTGTAAAAGCACCGAGGAAACACCGTACCTTGACCAGAAAGAAGGAGACGCCATATGTCCGCAGGGACCGTGCCAGTTTAACATATTTCACTTTCGCTTCAATCTCTGTCATTTCTCCACAGTTTTTGTGTTCCTGTGGGTTAGAGCACACAGAGCATCTGAACGACTGCTGCACAACTGTGAAATGAGCCAGAATTACAACGTGTGCTTTTTATTAAGAGGACAAAAGGACAGCACCTGGAATACTTTCTTCTCCGCTCCTCTCTGCTTGATGTATTCTTTGGGTAGAAACTCCTTCAGGCTAGAAAACAAATGAAACACAGGAGATGCTGAGTTGTTCATTTTTTTTCTGCTTTAGCCTCAAACTTTAAACAAAAGAGTGATCAGTGTCGTAAATTCCTGAAGCCAGATTGATAAAATAAACACAAACATTTTCTCTGTACTCTCTACACGTCTGTGCAGGACAGACACTGTACGTACTCCAAGAATCCAGGTTTGTGTTTATGCTCTATGTGAGGGCCAAACTGGATCTGTGCCTGAATGCCTCCAAACTCGCAGGCCTTGTCGAACGATACGGGGTGAGAGCCGTTCAGGATGTCATCTCGAGCCTGAAAGACACAATAAGCTTCAAGTTGCAGCTGCAAGTCAAGTGGCAGAACACTCGTTTTTTTATTTATCCAAAGCTGATCCCAGATTCTGGGAGCCGCCTGTCACCGTTAGGTGACGATGGAGCAACGGATAATGCTACATCATCTCCAGAGGGGAGTGGAAACCTCAGCCTGACACACTGTATGAATGAAGTGGTCGGGAGAGCGATGTACTAACACTAATCTGATTTGACTTGCTGCATAAGAACCGCCCCTGTTCTGGAGACTGGCAACTTGCTGCTTCAGCAGTACCAAATAAAGGCAGAGAAGCTTCCGGAGAAAGAAACAGGGCCAGACCTGTACGTAGAGCAGGTTCAGCTGGACCGGGTCTCGGGAGTCCACGTTCTGGTCCGAGTAGAAGAATTTGCGTCTGAGCAAAAGGGTCTCGTTCTCATCCACCCCCTGCTCTCTGAAGGTCCTGCTGTGGTCCAGCCAGTTCACTGTAAAAGCACAGGGATCAAAACATTTCACTTCAACATGTCGTTTCTATAAAAGCAGACAAACCTGCCACATCTAGGTGTGAGTTACAGGGTTGTTCTCCAACACGTGCAGCTACAGCAAACAGAAAGGTAGCAACAAAAACCTTTACAGGCCTGGATTTAAATGTCCCCAAGAAGAAGAAAAAGATGCCAACAGGTATTTGTGGACATGTAGGATGTTTCATGGCTGGAGGAAGTCATTTCATATAGCACCGACTTATTATCTGCTTGGTGGTGACAACTACACTTTTACTCGGGTGTAGCGCTTCCCTTCGCTCTGCCGCAGACGTCTGTTGAAGCTTGTTGTTGGTGCGGAGCCTCGGTTGGAGAGACACCACGGGTTGGTGCCTGCTCTCTGACCGAGGCTCATTCGGGACAAGCAGCTCCAGACGAGCCCCTAACTTCCAAAAGTTCACATCATACTTCTGTGACTTCCTTCATGAATCTATGGTCCAAAACACACCCAGCTGTCAGTTTATTAGGTACACCTGTCTCAGACCGAGTCAGTCCTGTTCCATGAAGGTGATCATGTTCAGGTTGTTCTTCAGAGAGCTGCTGATTCATTCTGGTCACTGAACTGTAATGCATCATACAGTGAGGGCCTATTCATATAAAAGGGGTGGACAAAATAACAGAAACCCCTACTAGTATATTAAATGTCCATTAAATGGGATGAAAAAGAATTCGCATTTAAAATCCTGACTTTGTTTTAAGAGGAACAATCAAACCTATCAATGCAGGCCAATGGGTTGTTAAGAGCTTTAATGGTACAGTAAACTCCAGGACACTGTTTGGACAGATGTAATTCTACTGCACTCACAGTCATCATCTGTGTGTAGTTTGGCTTTCAGCTTCTCCATCTTCCTCTCGTCTCGCAGCAGCGTTCTGTCTTTCTTCAGCGTACCCGTCCCTTCGTCCTTTTTCTCCTCCACCGTCTCCTGGATCAGAGAGTACTCCTCGTAGTTTGTGATGCCTGGAGCCAAAAGGGAAGCGGGTTTCCCCGTCAGTCTCAAGAAACAGATTATTTTGTTCATGTTTTATGAGGAACTGGAATAAACAATATGAACAGTCCATACAGCAGGCCAGGAACAAAGCGGTGAGCCAGACACTACAGTATGTACCTATCCTACTGCATATAGTCACAAGCAGCTCCCCCACTGTTTTGGAGTCATCCACCATGATGGTTTTAACAGCCCCATCCAGCATTTTGATCTTCTGAGGCCGCTGTTTCTTCTTGTATTCAAGAATATCCTGCTCAAAGACAACAGAAGAGAGAACAAGAAGCAAGTCAATAAGGAACGCATGAATTACATGTAAGAGAAAAAACTAAATAGGAAGAGAGAGCATGAAAGTATCCGCTGAGAGAATGATCAAATGCATCCAGGTTGCATGGAGCGAGCAGAGAATACAGGCCAGAAAACCTTATTTAACGGCTGCCTGTCACAGCTCGCTGCTCCCTTCCAATCACAACAATGAGGAGAGATTTGGTTCAGAATAATTGGTCACAGCCATGCCTTCTATCTGGGATGCCTTTGGTGGATTTAAAGAGCAGAAACCTTAGAGCTACAAAACCACAAATATGGTGAGGGAGCGCTGCATGGCCACATCAGGAAGCAGGGTGAGCCGGGCTCCCGGCAGCAGGGATCAGAGAGTAGACGGCTACAGCTGCTGGAGCGCTGCTGCACGCTCACGCTGAAGTTCTCGTTCCTTGATACCCTGTGCTTCTATTCGCACATTTTGCCTCAATGTCCCTGTGCATGATTCAGCTGCACGTTGTCTTTGCTATCAGCAGATTCAAAAATCTCAGTTTTAATTAACCTGTAGCGGATTATAAAGTATTTTTAATTGAAACAAACACACAATAAATAACTCTGACAACGGTATATTCCAACATAGATCATTTTGATTTATTACACATCATCACTCAGCAGGTTTCAATCAGAACATCTGGATTCCAGCTTTAAAGTTTAGAGATTAATATAACAACTATTCACATGATATGAACATAAATACAAATGTGTCCATGCCATAAGGAGTGTGTGTGTGTGTGTGTGTGGGGTGGGGGGGGTGGGGGGCCTGGTATTAACCTACATTATGGAGACAAATATGTTTGCACATTTTGGGGATTTGACATCATTAAAGGGACAAAACAAGTCAAGCATTACTTTTGAAAGTGAAGACTCGGTTTAAGTTTACAGTGAGGTTAGAGCAAGTCCACAGGAAATGAGTGTAAACCAACATAATGTCCCCTGAAGTGATGGAAACTGTGTGTGTATGTGTATGGCTTTCTGTGGTTGTATGGAAAACTTTATCCTGAACCCATCACTGTGAGGACATTTTAGTCTGTCCTCATATGACAGGCACACCACGTGTGGTCATAATATTCTTGTGGTGGGTTAAACATATTTACCCCATTGCGGAGCATGTAGTAGTCGAGTGTCCTCCCAGACTCCAGCCAGATGCCTTTTCTGGGGTCTTCATCAGACAGAAACAGCCCGTAGTCTGAAGCTGGAGCAGGAGAAACAGCATTTTACATTTTGCTGAGATGACGTTTTGTACCTGCTGCTGCTGAGTTTGACAACTTTTAGAACACGTTTTGGGCCGCTGGTTAACAGGAGCACAGAGCGCGCTTTACGCACATCTGACGAGATAAAAGGGGGAAGAGCATGTCGGTGCCGTCAGGTGGAACGGTGAAGTCACACCCTGGCCCCTCCTTACAATCACCTACACTATACACATTAGGAAATCTGTGAAATACGGCAAGTTGGGATTGATCACAAATTCAATTGTGATGGCTGATATGACAGAATGGGCTCCTCCCAAGACAAAGACTGTGTGGTCTGATCCTGGCATTAGTTGATCAGACATTATTTTCCACCTTGTGCAGAATGCAAACAAGGGAATCTGAGGGGCCGCAAAAGGCTCTAGTTGTTTCAAAGTCTGCACATGGACTTAAATGTTCATACTGAACACTGGCACTGGCGACCCAGCCTAAAGACTGAAGTCGGCCACTTTCAGATGTACATGCACTTTTATGGCTCCATGTCCTGGCTTCTTTCACAGGTTAAACCTTGTCCAATAAGGATAATCACTTTGTTTGGCCAAGTATGTTATACACAAGGAATTTGTTTCCGGTACAGAACCAAGGCAGCCATCTGCAGCGCCAACTCACCAATGGCTCTAACCATTGGGGGCAACTGGGGGGTTCAGTGTCTTGCCCAAGGACACTTCGACATGTGGACTGCAGGCACCAGGATTTGAACCTCCAACCCTCTGGTTGGGAGACGACCGCTCTACCCACTGATCCACAGTCTCCCCCTTCCTGTGCATTTTTTTTGTGTATTCTCACCTTGTCCACTCTGAGCTTCAGGGACCCTCTCTCTGATGATCCTGCAGGCGTCGTAGACGGCTGTGGAGGGCTCAAACTGCATCGTCTTGACAACGTTGCACTGGCGGACGCAGATTTTCAGCGACAGCACTACCATCTTGGCAGGTGGTGTGGGCGGGGGCTGCAACTACACCTGCACAAAACAAGAACATAGAGGGAAAGGAAAGAGCAGAGGAGGTTGTATTTATTGCACGACACAAGTCCAGCAACTTACTGACTTATAAATTAGCCAGATGTTGGAAAAGAAAAATGACTTCTCCGTTGTCAGGGAAAGGGCACATGCACTTTAAACTCAATCTGATGAACATTTGTCTGGGAATAATTCTGATTTTAAAGCTTGAATATAGACAGATTAATTCTCTGTGGCATCATTTCTGTGCTTGACAAAATGGGCAGCATCTTTGTGATTACCACACTAGAAGA